AAGACTGGAAATATAAACACGGAGAACATTCAGAATTCAACTTCATTGGTACAATTAATACGTGCACTCACTAGGTAGCCGAGTAAATAGCTACATTACACGACTTCCACTAGGTATGTATTTACTTATCTTGGCCTTAAAATATCTAAGTACGTCAACACAGAGAACAGCGCCTAAAAGTATAGTATTCGCACAAATACATTGTACCGTAGACGTGTAAAGTTTACTGGAATGTCTTCCTTAACCGCTGAGGTATACCTCATTGATAAATAATTGGTACTTCAAACCATTGCTAAACATCAATTTAATTAAAAAACAAAACATATTACTTGGGCAAAAAATAATGTAAAAATATGTTGTGCCTGTATACCTAATTACCAAAAAGTTGTTAAAACCGATTGTGTTGATGAGATCACTGTTAATGTAGGTTGCCACTAGCCAGTTAACCAGTTGAACTGTGGCGTGACCTTGTGAATCAGACGTTCCGATATGGCCATGCTATACCGTCGGCCGCCGAATATGTTACTCAACTACGTGACTACTAACTGCGAGTAACACATCGTAGGTATAATATAATATGCAAAGGTAGACCTTTACCTTACTGCTATACGTAAACATTAAAACACTTGATACTCTGAACAATAAAGCTGAGATTTAAACGTAAAAAATAATACTTTGATTGCCGTGGCTATGAATTAAGGACGCACGATAACCTCAAATGACATCATCTACAAAGTTGAAAATAATTTACGAGAGTCCTGTTTATTTCAATCAAATGTTTATAAATAATAATCTAATGATATATTAAGATAATTTGATGTTCAGTGTAGATAGTAAAATTATTCAGTATTTCTACAAAATGGCTGGCTCAAAATATTTAGTTCTTTATTTAGTATTAGTATTTACCACCATATTTTATTTACAAAGTTAAATAGGTAAAACGTTTATTAAAAATGCGAAGAGAAAGCGGAGAAGTTATAGTGTTCATCATAACCTTATATTATAATACAGCAATTAAATTAATAGTAAAATATGCGATATTGTTACAAATGTGCACTTGGATAAGGAAATTATTAAAAATTTCAATAATGTACACACAAGCATAGTAACCGATAGCCTACACCTGCATTTAAGAATTTATATATAGGGCAATAATAATAAATGTCGGCGAGCATTTTAAGTAAAGTGTCGAACCCAACTCTTCGTTATAAATTGTGAATGGTTTGTGCTATGTGGTAGCTACAACAGATGACCTAACTTCTGCTACGAAGCATCATAAAGATGAAACACTAATTAATAAATTGACATCTACAAGTGGGTACTTGCAGAACGTGGTTCAATGGGTCGACATTAAATCAATGCACCAATCTACGTTCATAATAAATTTAAAGTGTTTAGACAGATTTATACAAGTTGATTATTAGTGTTTCAGTTAATTAAAAGGAGCCACCGCCCTATTTAATAATACTGTGAATGTTAGGTTTTGTTGTTTCATGGAATTAGATTTTGTTTTAATATATTTAAGTGCTTTGCGGGGTGAGTTTATATCATATGTAATTAAAAGACCAGTGGATATGACAGGGCGGGCGACCAATGCGTGCTGTAACGCGTTTATTCATCAAGGCGTGGACTGTAAATACTCGTATAATCACAGACACTTGCATTGTTTCGGGGAAACATTTTAATTACTTCATTCGCAAAATTTTCTATGCAGTTTTTGCACTAGTAGAGGTAGAGTAATGAATTTAAAGCCAACGACACACGAGCATGATTCATTCATTTGATAAAGGTCAATGATAAAGTGTTTGGTCTGTCTACCAGGTTAGAGGTGGACGGCTTATTACATTAGTAACGAATTCTTTTTTAGCACACATCATAATAGTAATTTTCCAATATGGTTTACCGATAACGGAAATTAGGGAAGCGAATGATGAAAGGCTAAATTGTCTATACACAAAAGTTTATGATAACCGCGTCGTGCACGATAACGGCAGGTTATCATGTCTCGGTTTAACAAAGGTACTGCTACGATTTTCACTTAAAATAAAAGGGTAGAGAGGTTTAATTAATGGCATTTTGTGAAGGCGGGTGTGGCCCATTAGCTGTGCAAACACTGTGGCCTCACGACAACCTCTAATATGTACAGTACTGGACTTACTATGATATTCTAGTACTTTATCATAACGAGATGTTTTATTTTAGTAACACTGTATCGATGCACTTCCTGCTGTGTCTGTGTCATATTTTAAATCAACAACAGGCAGAGATGATAAGTATGAATCAAGTAGGTAAATAGGACTACTTGTGGTTGAAAAATATTTTCTGAAGATAATGCCATTAACACATGTTCCAAGGTCAATAGCTGTTATAATGTAGGTTACACATAAATTGCAGTTAATTTAAATGTTACAATTTCGTACAAAAGTACGTACGGGTGATAATGAGTGCCGTGTTGTTCTTGCGCCATAACATCAGACCTTTTAACTCTTTGTTTTACAGCGACCGCGAAAGTAGTCCACGATTACACGATGAAAAATCATATAATTTTCTAGGAAACGCGTGTGTTTAGTGCGTGCAAATATGATATAATAGGTGGAGGTGTAAACAGAGGGTCGAGCAGGTAATGCTCTACATCGGCGGATTTATAGGCCATGAGGGAATTAGGGTCAGGACTAGTGTCCTTTACGAGTTACGACTGTGTGTGACACGCATTTGCTTTTACACATTTTCATGGACATTTCTTTTATGTGCGTGCTCGGATCGGATAAAATATCGAGCACGAAAAATTTTTAGCTTAAAACGTAATTTGAGATGAACATCTGAATTGTATTACATTTTAACACACATACGCAAAACACATAGATTGTTTCCAACCATTTTTAAGCCGTTAAAATGTAGGAGAACTATTCTTCGGCACCAATGGGCCGGGTTGACCGTAGAGTACCACAGCCTCGCAGAAAACCAACCAGAAACAACTACTCGTATAGCGTTACGTTACGCCCGTTTACGAGTGAGTTTCGCCCCCACAGTGATGGGGCTTATGGGGATTTTGGGAGTGCCCCAAATTTCCAAAAGCTGTTATCCCCAGAAGGCCAGCAAAGCACTTGACTTGAATAGAAGATAGATAGATAGAAGTATTGTCCTCTGGTGTCACAGGTGTTTATAAGCGGCGCCGATTGCTTAACACCAGGTAGTCCATCCAGTAATGTTCCGCGGTATAGAAATTAAAGATGTGGCAGCTAAAACGATACTAAAATTGAAGCGCTATGATTATCTAATAAATATACAATATTTGTCTAGTACTATATGTTCAATATAATATTGACGATGGATTTTTTGATAAATCTTTCTTACTAATCTTCTCTTAAATATAGAATGAAAACGACGGTCCGATTTGGCTAATTTTGGTCATTTAGGGAAGTCTAGGCAAGGTTTAAAAGGTCAGAAAACTAAAATACATTTTTAGGCGTTACGCAGTTGGCCGGATCAGCAAGTTGCAGAAGCTAAAACAGAGACGCTATACACAAAAGAAGCCGAACCTGTTTACTTGCGAAACCGCTGGGGCAGCTAGGATTATCTGTACTTATATTATAAAGAGGAAAACTTTGTAATCTTTGGAACTGCTAGTCGGATTTCCAAGTACTAAAGGTGTACGGAAAGTAGTTCCCTTAGGACTTGGGCAAAGCTGCGCGAACTAGCTTGTAGATATTATGTTGCTCATTTCTATAATACTCAAATTATATTTGTAGCAAATGTGTCAAATACCATATTATTACTGTAATTGATAACTTGAATAATAAATCATATCACACGTCATAATTGTCATATTTATACATAGAGCAAAGAGCAGAGCTGACTATGGAAAGACAGACAAACCTAGTATAAATGAAAGCATGGTTAAGATCAACATAATATTAAGTAAATATTTTAGTCAGTGTACCTATGTAGGTACGTACTTAGTTCAACAAACCACGACGAGGACCAATCAGTGAAGTGTGCATTGGCTTTCCTATACAAAATTCCTAGCGTTGCGTGATGCAAATCTCATGCAAATATTGTAACACATCTATTAAAGGGTCCATTGGCAAGGCCACGACAATTCGGTCAACGGGTCATAGTATGAATCGTGAGGACGCACCCAGAACTCGTCGGCGCGCCCAGCGGGAGGGAGGATATGAGGACGTTACTCCTTCCCGCAATGCGGTGATGCGAACCTCCTGAGTACATAACTACATACCATCGTCTCGAAGAAATATTAGGTTGAACCTAACTGTCAACCGTCATGTTTGAATCTTAGAAAAATAAGCATATCTGGTCATTAACATACGTCACATATCGCGGCTAATGCTTCTAGTGAGCGCGGGCGTGTATGTGGCAGTTATAAAAGTCCAAAATGACTATGTATCGGGCGCAGTAGTGACGTAAGATTTATTTTGGCTGTGTTAATGCAGTAGTGATGTGAATAAAACATATATATAATTTTAAAAGCGCGGCGATAAACTCGTAGCCGCCACGCCGGCCGGCGGCGTCGCGGCTGGTTCCGGAGCATTGCGTCACATGTGCCATCACAAGAATGTTGCTTGGTCTTTCGCATTTCTCAGTATTTACAACCTGTAGGATATATTTTACAACAACAAGCCCTCATTTTCTTATACTTGCCTAACTAATTTTAGACACTTTATTGCCACAAATTACGAAAAAATAAAAACATTTTATTCTTCATGACTGCAGAGGCTAGTAGATTTTTCTTTATTTACCATTGTAATTTGTGGCTTAAAAAAAGTAATGTTTACTATGTAATTAATAGTGGGTACCGACTCATAATGTCGCGAAATCGAATGCAGTGATTTTCCTCACCAAATTCTCTGTAAGGTTAATGGATTCAGATCAAAACTAACACACTTATATGTAATATAGCTTCAATATAAAACTTCTTAATAAAATTACACTAAAATTAATGTCCATAAAGAGAATGACAGCAAGGAACCAATAATACTCACTAATTAAGAGACTGGCCGGCAGCACTATCCGCACAAGAACTACTGCTAAATAGTACTTGCTCATGTTGATTAGTTACTGTAAACAACAAAAAAATTATAAGCTGTTATTTCAGCTCTGTGCTGTGCATTACCTATCTGTGAAAATAATTGTAACATCACAGGAAAAAATCTGAGTGAGGTTTATATGGTAAAATAAAAAAGTAGGAGTAATAATAGAAAGTTTGCTACATGGTAATTATTATTATATATTTTAATGGTCATGGCATGTGCCTGATAAATTTTACATTATAGTATTTTATAGGTCTGGGAATATCCAAGAGATTTAGTCCTGTTTTCTATTATTATTAGTTAAGTTCAAACAGATTTATTTGTATTGATTGACATGTAATGAATAATTTATTTTAGTTTCTAATAAAACTGATAACCTGTTTATGGAACCTGGAACGACAGTAAAGTCTTGGGATCTAGGTATTTCAAATTCCTTGTGTATGCATTTACTCCCAATCTTAATTTTGCAAGTAATAATTTTGATAAATAATAACGAATGGCACCGTAAATATTTTGTACTATAATCCGTTCATTTTTAAAGCAAATTAGTAAAAATTTTGTATATTACTGCCGTAATAAATAAATTTTAAGTCGCCGACAAACGAAAACTTAAAACGTTACTACTTACCTATATTTATTATGAAAAAAAACACTACATTTCATCAACACACTATCACTGTAAACGGTAGACAACGCTCGTTATTGTTAGTACATTTAAATCCATGTATTTAAACATTTTACGACATCGTTATATTTCGTAAAACAAAAACACGACCACACACTCCACCACAAATCTAATTTGACTTGACACTTAGGGAGAAGATCAAGCAGTGTATGTTGCCAGACGACGCATTGAAAATCCTTCTAACAGTACTTAAAAATACGAAGCACTTCCAACAGCTTTAATTTCAGAGTCAATCGAGTTTGATTCGATTTTGCGTCTTTTCGTAATTTCGAATCAAACTCGATTGACTCTGAAATCATGGATCGAGTTTGATATTTTCGTGTGTTTACTAGTAAATAACACCTTCAGAATTGTTCAACACGCATGCTTTCCGTTTTCTTAAAAAAAAGTCTTGTTGGAATACGTACAAAAAAAAATATGTGAGTTGATACAGTTGAAATTAGTGAATTTAAGATTTGAAGATTTTGAGATTTGACATATTAAATTCACTGTTTTTGTTTCTTATGAAAATCATGATATTTGTGATATGATCGAGAAAAGTAGGTACCTACTTGAAGATTTTGAACTACAATATCATTTTTTACTTGAACAGTATTTAACATTGACGTTATCTACCAGCTGCACTTAACGGTTCTGTAAAGATCCAATGTAAGATGATTTTGGTTTTTGTTTCAACTTTACTCAAGAGTTTCAGATCTAATTAGGATCGAATAGTTTTAGGGAGTATTTCAGGAATACGAAGACGAAAGTTTCGAATTGCCAATCCACCTTGAATGGTGATTACCTATATTCTTACCTTTTCCTTCCGCGTGAGAAGGCCAAGGAGCCTATTATTAGCTATATTCTATTCACCGCAGCCAGCCCATTCACCTTGGCTCCTGCTTTTCGGGATGTATCCCTGGAGTGCACCGACCGCCTTCAGCTCTTGGGAATGGACATTGCTTCAGACCTCAACTTTAGGCGGTTCATTGAGTCCAGAGCCAAGGTAGCTGCTAGAAAACTCGGCGTTCTTGCAAAAGTCCGACGGTACTTCACACCGAGTCAGCTTCTAACGTTGTATAAAGCTCAGGTCCGATCGTGTGTGGAGTATTGCAGCCACATATGGGCTGGTGCTGCAAAATGCCACCTAGCGGCTTTGGATTCAGTGGAAAGGCGAGCAAAGAGGCTGATTGGTGATCCAGATTTGGTTGGGTCCAATCTTCAAAGTCTCGAGCACAGGCGCAGAGTAGCCAGCCTTACGGTTTTCTACAGGATGCATTTTGGAGAGCGTGTCCAGGAATTGCACGATTTGATTCCGCCATCCCAATTTCACCTTCGGACTTCCCGGCGTACGGCGAATATCCACCCCTACGTTGTTGAGACACCTGCGGCCCGGACTAAGCGTTTTGCCTCGTCATTTAAACCGCGTACATCGAGGGGTTGGAACAGTTTGCCGGCTGCAGTCTTTCCGTCCGAATACAATTTAGGTGTCTTCAAGGGTGAATAGGCTCTTAATAAACTAGTGCGCCTTACCATCAACGATTGCATCACTGCTTACTATCAGGTGGGATCGCAGTCAAGAACTAGTTTATTGCAAGTAAAAAAAAAAGTGGCTTCTTGTTTAGCAATGGGTTCATAAAGGCTGATTGTGATATTCATTATTTTTTCATTAAAATATTTTGCCGTGGTGTAGAAATATTTTTTACTCTGGTGTGGAATTTTGTCGAAACTACCATAACTAGTGATGGGCTAATTAAACTTTTTTTCGGAAAATTATCGGTTTGTTCTGGTATTTTCATGGAAATTAGGAATAATATTTGAATAAGTGTTTTATTTAAATAATACATCTTTTCTACCCTAAAATTGTAATTTTATCAAAATATATTTTCATTTATAAAATCGATTTTAGGAGAAGACACACACCACTAGACTGAATTTATTTTTATTGCGAATTAATGGCGTAGCCAGGTGAGTTTTCTTGTTTATTTCTCATTTCATAGTGTTCTATGGCTTTCAATTGTTTTGTCTAAATGTTTTTCATCGAGCAAAATATTTAATCTTCTATAAAGTCAAAATTTTTCCACCTAATCCGTTTTTATTGCACGAAAAACCAATATTACGAGTAATGAACACGTATTGGATTTGTTCCGAATTTATTCGCTAGGATCATTCATTGTCATCACTTTCACTTTTCACACGATTTGCTATAATAGTGGTTTTAGTGTGCATCGAGGCGCTGTCGCCATGGATGAGTGAGTTTCCGATATTTTCCCTTTATTTGTATGTATCATTGTGAATAATTATGACAAGGTTACTCATACTCTCCAACAAAAATGTGACAATCATTGTTCACTTTTGTTCTACTTCAGTAATTAAGCGAAATTCGTAGTTTTTATGTAGGTAATGTTTTGTTTTCCATAGCACCATGTCGACCCTAACGAAAATGACCCGCACGGTTAAAAAACTGGAGGTGCCAAGACCCCTGAAATCGACGACCAGTTCGGCACACAACCGCAACTCTGTGTTGGACGTCAAAATAAACTCTGGTAAGATTCTTATTAGATTATTTCATCTAGTTTCTTATAGGTTTTAGGAAATTTTCTATTTGGATCAGAAACAGACATCTGTTATTGTTTGGCTTTATCAAAAAACATTTATATTTCGGATACCTAGATAAATCTCAACACAGTATTCAAAACAATCTCCCTGTACCTAGATTACCAATAAAAATAAAAATATAAATAAAAATAAAAATTATTCGAGTCTGAAATTTATTATTGTAATGTTCTGTTTTTTGGAAATTATCTATTACATGGGCCTCATGTTGTAATATGGTGATGAAAAGATAATGTGACAGTTCATCTAAGCAGAAGTATGTCGCTTATGTTTATCTGTTGGGGTTTGTTTGTAAACAGTTACACTATCAGAAGTATCTTAATAATATCATATCATTTTTAAATATTCCAATATATTTAAAATTATTAATATCTTATGTCTCTGTTAAATTACATGCTACAGATGCAAGAGGTAAGTATTATTATTGTTTTAAATATTAAATACACACACACAAATTTAGAAAAAAGAAGTAAGTAAATTGGCAACACACTACATTCATAGCACCCTTTATTTATTGAGTTTGTTTTCAAATGTGTTAATTCAAACACTGCAGTCGTTTACATTTACTCCAGGACTTATTAAAGCAGGGCTTAAACAATTAAAATATTTTCCATTGGTTGAAATAAAAACAGCAGTCAACAGCAGCAACAACAAATTATTAAATAACTCTATTATTGTACCCAATAAAGCTGTTTTAATACACTAAATAAATGTTACAAGTATTGTAAGATGTGTATACATATATATTTTTATTTCTTTCTTTGCAGTCGATGACCTCATAGTGTTGACCGAAGCGGTGGCGTACCAAATGATGCAGGGTAATTATGACCGTGCGCTTCAAAGTAATGTGGCCACCATGTACTCTAATCTGAAGCTTTATGGCGCACAGCTCGAGGCCCTTTACAAGGACTTTCTTGATAGGTTTGTAACATTAGTAACAACTTAACAGCATGTTTGTGATTGTTTGTGCAACTAGCGTTCCCAACACATATAATATATTTTCAGGTACTTTGTTGTGTTCCGCAACGGTTCGCAGGACGAACGACTGGATAAGAAAACTAGACTTCACCTTCTTGAGCTGATTGAGCTGCGCGCCAAACTTTGGCAGGGCTCCGACTACATGAGTCAATATTATAGACACCGCGGCACCCATGCTGAGGTAGGCAGTCTTTGCTAACTAACATTTCAACCCGTGTTTTTGAGTGATTTTCGACACGAAAACACGTCTCTTCAGTTTGTATATTATAGGGAGTATGTCTGTAGTCATATTTTTCTGGAATAATGTTGTTTTGCCTTCGACCTCAACAGTAGTGTCGATATAATGTAAAAGAAGTTAAGGTGTGGCTTTTTCAGCCAACCTACACTAATCTAGTTGCTTGTGCAATATTAACAGTAACTTCCGATTAATGTGCAGCTGACCTAGTTAAGTAACGACACATATCCGCAATGAGCGCAAGGTGTAACTGTTCTGTATGCGGGTACAGCCACTACTGGTGCCGACTATGGAGGGGTCGGGTTCGGGCGGCTCGGTGTCCCCTACGCTGGCTGCGCCCGCCGAGCCGCCCTCTCTTCTCGGCCCCGGCGAGATCATCAAGCCGTCAGGAAAATTCCCTAAGCCTACCAAGATCCCTGGCAAGAACTACTCCAAGGACGAAGTTGTCATTAGAAATGCCGACTCCGGAAAAGGTGACAATGTGTCATTATAATATTCTTTTTAATGGGTACCTACTTGCATGTTGAATATACATCGAGTATTTGTCAATAAGCCAGGGATATCTGAAGCATGACCGAGGTCGATATTATGCTTATCTATTCTTAGTACCTATGTATTACTTAGTTCAACTCTATATGTACTTCGATAGTGCATGAGGAAAAGTAACAAGTGAAATTGTAAATTATGTGAAATTTGTCTTACACCTGATAACGGAATCAAAATGCTTTATTTTAATTTCTTTAGTCTGACTTGTAAAACATCTAAATGGTGTATTTGAGTATTTATTCTTTGGGGATCTTTTGACTGATAAAGCCGAAAATTTGGGTAGGTGGCTATAAGGAAGCCCCCTGGCGGTATATCTGAAGTTGTATTATGGTGTTACAGTGATGGGTATCAAGGGCAGGAGGGTGCACATGATCGAGGAGCTAAGTGACACGATTATATCGTTTCAGCGAGGTATGAACGCACGGTGCGGACAATGACGCGCTTGCGCATGGTGTGGCGGGTCCTTCCTATCTCCTCTACTTTTTCTACCAAATGATTAATACTTACTATTCATTTCACATAACACAAGTCACTTTAACAAATCATATCCAATGGTTCTAAAAATATTATTAGGCTGTTAATGCAATCCTCTTGCAATCTCCTAACGCGTACAATGTTCATACTAAATCGTTTGGGAATGTATCTATGAATAATATTTTCAAAATAGCCATTTCACCGCCTATTAATCGCAACTAGCTATCAGCTTCAAGTCCATACAAAGGTTTACGGATTTCGACTCTTGCGAACTCGTCAATCACAAACATACTGATGATTACAGTGAGTCCCGGTGCGAAGGAGCGTCTCGTCCAGATCACTGGGCCCAACGAGGAAAACGTGAAGTGAGTATATTAGAGGTAGTTGATAGTGGATAATTGTGTGTTCCGTTCGGAGAGTACGAGTGTGTGGTTGTGCAGCCACGCCAAGCACCTGATCGGCGACACGATCCGCCGCAACGCGTCCCCGGTGCGGCTCGACGGCGCGCTCGACGCGCTGCCCGGCGCCGCGCTGGCCGGCTCGCGCGCCTCGCTCGACTCGAACGGCTCCGACGAAGCGCCGCGCGCCCGTGAGGTATACATCGCTCGCTATACCCGCCTGCTTTATTGTCTCATCCATCTAAATCCTAAATGCTGAATATACTTGTGTTTTAGAAATCCCCACACAACGCCCGGGCTCTATTGCACAGTTATTCTACGAACGATGCCGCATTGGGGGAGTATAAGTACACTGTGACTTTTGGACAACATTCCATTAAGATCACGGGCCTTAATTTGGATCTTGTAAAGGTGAGGTTTACTTTTATTGTGGTTATTATTCACATACATGCCTTGTAGGTTAAATATGTATTACTAGCGCTTAGTCGGTTAAGTATGTAGATGAGATGTTTGATGTTTAGACTGCGAAGCTTGTGTTGGACGAATACTTCGAGAGCGCGGGCGCGCTGGAGGCGATGGGCGCAGGTTCGGGCGACTTCTTCACGCTGTCGCAGCGCCCCGCGGCCGCGCTACTGCTGCGGGACGATGCCGCGCTGAATGGCGCCGACGATGACGTCTTCCTCAACGATGACAACGCCGGTAACACTTGATCTATTGCTATTTACCGCCAATTACAGCGCATGGAATAATTACTTCGGTATCGAAAAAATGCTATTGAATGATTTTCCGCCTTAATACAGGAATAAAATGTGTAAAAGGTGCCGTTTTTATGAAAACATAAATAAGCATGGTAGTAAGTTTTTAGTAGAACTTCTAAATTTTATTTGAAGGCATGAATGCACTTGCAATAATGGTGTGCAGTTTCTTAATTAACAGATATTCAGTTTATTTTAGACAGGATGAGACTGACTGAAGCATTTAAATTTTGGAATATATATTTCAATTAAACATATTCATATAAAATAGAATTTCGTTCATATTTTTCAGAATTTAAATTGGTTACATATCATTTTCGAACATCAATTTTGTGTTGGGTCAAAGAATATTTAGTACTTAGTATGAACTACATATATGTATGTATTTATTTTATTGACAAATATTTGTATGTATATTCAACAACATCGATCATGGTCGTGGCAGTGTACTTATTTGATCATTTACCATTTCGTAACGGGTCATTAGTAATCTGTCTGCCATACTGCTTAACCCGAACCGTTCTATATTAAAGTTTCCTCACCACCACGAACTGTACCACTCCCGTATATGGATAATTGATTTAAATCGTAAATGGAAAGATATTGGACTCAACTCAAAGCATAACGAGGTGGTGCGCGGTGCGTAGTGGTGGGTCGGTGCAGCGGTGTGGCGCTGTAGCGCTGCAGCGCTGCGGCGGTGTGGCGTTGTAGCGCTGTAGCGCTGTAGCGCTGTAGCGTCCGCCGCTGTAGCGCTGTAGCGGAGTGTGACGTGCTGTGCAGCGGGCGGGGGGGAGACGGACTCGACGCCGCGCCGGCCGCGGTTCTCGCGCGCCACCAGCATTGACAAGAAAGAAGGTAACGCCACTACATCTACTACCCACTTCTCTTACACACGCACAGACGACCTATTTCTGATAATGAGTACTCAAAACAGTATCGTCCTTTCTTTTTCAACCCCTTTATTAAAAAAGTTTTAATTGGTAAGTCATTAGTCACTTGTCATTCATTCGTGTTTCGGTTTTTTCATATATTTTGTTTTAAGTTTATTATAAACCTTCAAAGGCCTTGTTCCCCCACGCGTCCTACGTTCCGGCGTACATTGCGCATTATGTTTGTGTTTGCGCGCGCGATGTCGCGGCCTGCAGCTGCAATGTACGACTAACGCACTACGCGCCGCGTCTCTTTAGGCCTAAATGTTGCATGCCATAAGTCACACTACATACTTATTTCTAGACTAATAAATTACATTTTGCGTAAACTTCAATATGTGTATTTCCAATCGTGCTAACTTTTTTATGTACATTTATTATCATTCCCATGTCGCTCTATAAAATATCTAATAATATGCAGAAGTCAGTCCAAAGTGGTTACGACTAATATTATGTATTATATCAACTATCCAAAAGATTATACTAATTGGTCGTAGTACATAATGCATCAGAGTGTGCTTTGATATTGTCAGCTTGCATCAGTTTGAAAAATAATGTGCACGTGTCTATGCGTTTTTGTGCTTTAGTAAAATAATATGAGAAGCAAATTTTCCCTACTCTTGTAAGCAGCTATCGACAGCGATTTTCTTTCACTAACGCCAAACGATAGGTCCTTTTGTGAAGGCAAACGTCAGGCGAGTCGAATAGCGCTCGGTGGAGCAGAGAGTGGTGAGGTCGGTATGGTTGCAGGCGCGGCGAGCGGGGCGCGGCAGACGTACTCGTACGAGACGCTGGTGCAGTACGCGGACTCGCCGCTGAGCAAGCTGCCGCCGAGCGGGCTGGCGGCGTTCCCGGCCGAGCTGGCGCGCAAGGTAACGCTGGGCGCCGCGCGGCGGCCCGCGCCGCCCGCGCCGCGCGTGCTCACGCCCTTCCGCGTCTGGGCGCCGCTGCAGCATCCCAACTACCTGGCCGCGCTGCTCTGCCGCAACTTCTACTAGCTAGCCGCCCGCCGCCCCTCCCCGACCCTCGCATGTCTCGCGGCTTGCTATGCTTCACTCGCTTCTAACCTTCTGCATGCCGCTTCGGTGCATATATTACCCTTTGAAGTCATTTATCGAATTTCGAGATGCCTCCTTTTCAGTTAGGTTTGTCGAAATTCCTAGTTCCGCGTGTCTCTCTAGCCGTCTCCGGGCTCTAGACCCGGCCCCCCATTAGCTGATTAAGCGTAAACGCTAGGTATTAATAATAAGCGATTATTTAATTAGGAAATATTGATCTCATTAGCTAAGTTGTAAGATAATTGGTAAGACTGACGCTAGTATTATGTGGGGAGTGGCCTCTGACAGAGTTCGGAGGTGGCGGTAAATGTGTGCCGCTAACATTTCGAATGCCACAATTGTCTCTCTGTAGACTAATCGACAGTATAGCAACCTAAAGACTAAATAAGAATCTCAACATTGACACTGGAAAATCTTTATCGTTTTAGAAAAAAAATATTTTTCATTATTGAAATAATGAAAGAGTTTTTTAATACTAGTATATAAAGGTGTTTATTGACAGAAGAATATTGATAAATCTTTTACGCAACGTTATTTACATGAGTAAACAGTTTTGAAAGCTTTATTGTGTGTTTATTAACAATGCTACTTAAATTTGTGATGTCTCTTTGTTCATGCTGCTCGGACAGAATGGGTATTCGAGAGGGGATCGCTACAGGTAGAAAGTGTTCGCCTATTAAACTTGAGTGAAGTTCCAAATTTTCACTTGATTTCTGTTGTGTTCATTTATTGTTATTGTTTTTATTTGAGTAAGCATTTAAATTATCAGTGTTATTTCAATTGATTGTCAATTTATGATTTTTAAATATAATAATTTCAAAATATATCGTCTTTTGCCTGTTCTCACGCTTACCTCCTAACTAACTAATCCAGCTGAATCTTTCTGCGGTGATGGGGATTTTTTGTAAATAACTCACATAGCCGGGTAGGTCGGCCACAGTGACTAACACACACTCGCACCATGTCAACTAACACCGTGGGCGACGAGAAGCTGCCCCAGGCCAGCGGAGCATAAATGTACAAGTCCGATGTGTCCGACAGAGTTGCCTGGACTTCGACAGCGCCAGCTACTTGAAGAAGGTTCGCGCGGCGGGCGGCACGACGGTGGCGGCGGTAGACGCGCCCGACTCGCCTGAGCCCGAGTAAACCCCGCGCCGGTTCGCTCGCCCGCACCTCACACTGCACACTACTACAAAATTCTTTAACGCAATGACGTATAGGTAAAGTAGGCACGACGACTGACACAGCCCGCACCGGCGAGCGAACCTACCTAGCACTGCCCGGCAGCTGAGAGACCGGAGGCCGCTACGGACGTGCGCCGGCCTCTATTGAGGCCACGCCACGGGCCGCCCGGTGTGTCCGTCCTTACAACTCTTTATTTAGCGAGCTTCACTCTTTAATCTAATTTAGCAGACTTAAAAGTATTAGCACACCAAAATATTTATTTTTATAGTGGTGGGTATACCATACCTCATTTTTGTGAATATTTATTACATAAATTAGCTGTGGATCTGACTACATACGAATAATGTGATAAAAAGATAAAAATGCATGTAAAAGGCAAATTCTATAATTTGCACAAATCCACAGTCTTACGTTGATCTCCCATCAATGTTCTTTTTTTTCAATTTCCAACGTTAAATAATAACATTCTGAACAGTACATTTTAATAATGTCCATTTCGTCTTATAAACAACATTGATATTTTCATTATTTTGTTGTATATATTGACTCTGTTAGTTTCGGATATCATAGAGTGATTCCATTTATTATTATAAGAAGAATGCATGCATTTCTTTCGTGTGTTTGTATACTCATTTTCAGACTTTCTAGTGTCTAGTCCTGACGAGTAGATGTCGATTCTCACTATATCGTAAGCTTTTATATTTTCGAGGAAGCCTGCCAATCAATATAATTATTATTAAAGGAATTAGGTATTATGGTTTTTCTTGATATTATTTAAAATATTGTTGTATTATTTTTGTTGTACTATTAGAGCTTTTAAATAAACTTGCTGTGCACTAAACCAAATAATTATTGTAGTGATCCTAAAATATATAACACTAACGTAATTTTCGATTTTATGGTTGCCAGGCTTTCTTTTTCTAAATGGTTTTAGTAAACGTGAATATTCGGGAGCCGGAATATTATATCGCAGTGATATAGGGTTTTATTTCAATGTTGCAAAATTCAAAGTTTAATTACTGTCGGCGGAACCGACATAAAATAATTTTAATCATCACTCGTTCACCTTTTGAGTAAACTGAAAGTATTATAAAATTATTATTGTTGCAGGTATTACTTAAAAGACTATAAATATGTTATTTAATTTTATTTACTAGAGGCTAGCGAGTGATGCCTCAAAATAACTTATCTTCAGATTAAACAAATATTTAAACGTAATTGGTGCTTAATCCTTGGGGAAGTATTATCGTTGAATTTGTAATTAAAGATTTATGTTTACACATTTGTTTTTATATCATAGACGTATGGCTATAATTGTGAAAATTGATATACTAAATTTTCTAATATAGAGGCGTTTTATTTCTTTACCTGTTTGTATATTTTTTATTACAATAAAAATAGGTAGTTATCATCGCGCCTAAATTAAAAAAAGGTATTAGTATGTATTTAAAATAAAAAATGTTGTAATATAGGTAACCAATTCTATATTTACAATTTACATGAGAAATAATACACTTGATTTAAATATAATATAGCTAACGATGTCGCAAATGCATAATAATTTAAATTCATTTATATAAAATAAAACGTATTTTTATCAATTTCCTATGGAAGCAATGTATCTGACGCTTGAACTGAAAAGCTTGAAATTGATTATTATGATCAAACATCACTCCATTGTAAATTTCTATCCTAATTGTACGTCTAACTGGACAGAGTACACGTAAGATGTGAGTGACGTATTGTGATTCGCGTTGTTTTATAACTGACTGCAGTCATGTAGTTTCCTCTACATTATTGGATGCTGAACTCTGCCCAACATACGTACAAACTTCCAAAATGGAATGCATATTTCACTCTATGGTAAAAGCACGAAATGCAGTGATTAGTACTAGCAAGCAGGCAGGCCAGTTAGGAAAACTCTTATTTTAAATAGACAATTGACCACTTAACATTAACCAAATTTTATTGAAGGATTACGGTATCATCAAATGCCAAGTGCCATAATTTGTCAGTTAGATAGTGGCAATTGGAACGATAAACACTTTATTCTTAAATACTATAATGTCTACAATGATGTAAAACCTATTCGGTTTGAGCTATAGGAAACTTTGTGCCATACATAAATACGAAATGACTCTAGGAATGTTATATTCCATGTAAATTGCTAAGTCCCAGGCTCACTATTTAGCGTCGCCCGGTGATTATTTATTGCTCTTCGACAATTTGTTGACGAGATGTTAAAAGTAGCGCGTCTAGCTGGCATCTAAATATTGTCTGCTATTTTCACTCAGAACTTAGGCCTTGCTTTAGTGAATACCTTTACTAGCTTGTCTTACAATATCAGCTACACCCCAGATATTTTTCTTAAACATTTAAAATGCGAAGAGAATGTTATACAGAACAAATCCCACCAAATATCGAGGTAAAACGGTAAATACTTATTAAATGCCATTACGTGGATTATTGAATACTAGGTCCAGTGATAGCGCGGTAGGTATGATTTAAATCCTTTCAGCTAATTTATCGGTAATGTTAGCAGAACGTAATCTTGCGTGTTGCATTATATCAACCGATAAATCATCTACGTTAGTGTAGCGACATTTCTGGAAGTTAAATAGGTCTGAAATGAAACCTACAATTTCTGACTGAAAGGACTCGCACACGTCTCGAAGACGTTCGTTGGGGCCCAAGAAACCCCATACTAGAACTGGCAGTAAATGCTCTGATATAGAATAAAAATGTGCCATGAAACCGTCCGGGAACTGTAGGTAGCGCCGCTTCGCCTTAATAACAGACCACACCGCCGTGGTCAATGCCTGAAATATAAAGTTATCATTAGTTTTTTCATTAGGGCTTAACTACCTACCCAGTGAAATAAGTAACAAAATACGTACACTTTCTTTGAATCCGTCTGACAACCATCGATTGCGAACCACAGCGAGAACTGAGGAAGGCGGCGACGCGAGATCTTCAAATGCGTCTAATAGTATATAGTCTAACACCACGTCGTAGAATGTTAAGGCCTGAAACAGAATATAATGAAGTACCCTACTTATATAGGACATATCCAAACTCCTACTTTTACAACTAGTTCCCTGTCAGCGTTAAGATTTCCTTATAAGGAAATATACCACTACTTCAAATAGTTGTCTGTATGTCTTACCTTAACACCTTTAGTCGTAAGTTCCGTTTCTATTGTTGTCCAATTGGCCGCATCGGTCGCCCAAGACACCATTTCTTCATAAGCCACCAGGAATTCCTTTGGTTCCTGGTGAAGTGGTAATATGAAATTATGAAAAGATCAAAAAAAAAAAGTACTTTTAGCAACAAATAGATTCAGACCTTATCAGCGAAGAGAAGTAGATCAGTGAGCACTTGTCGTCCGGCGTCCACGAACCAGGCCCAAATTGCGGCGTCCTTGAACACCTGCGTGAAGGCCTGGCGCAGGCAATGCAGCTTACACAGGAACTCGGAATCTGTACTGCACTGTACAACTTCTGTGCGTAGCGTCCTGAAATGATTTGTACCAAATATTTAGGGCACAGGGCGATTTTTCTTAATGGCAAGAACATGCTACACTTGAAGAACCTAGTTAAGAGAGGCCCTTGTAGTCATGTGCAGGAAGCACATTAGTAATCAAAACGAAATAGTATAGAGGTCTTACAATTTACTTTTAGTATCCAAATTGTCCAAAACCTCACACAGTAAAAATATCCGAATTATCCAAAACGTCACACAGTAAAAATACGGCAACCAAATTAAGACTAAAACTTGTCGTAGGTTGTTGTTCTTTATTTGACACCCAAATAAAATCTTAATAAGAGATATATTTATGAGTCTCAAATAGGATTCTTATGTCACCATCTCAGAATACAGAACAAACCAGAAGGCGTCATCGCGCTTCAAACAGAAGCAACTAAAACCATTCTCAACTAGAATAGTATGAAATTTCTACGATTAGTCAATTTTGGCACGTGGCATGTCGTGACGTAATTACGAGTATCAATTTTAATTTCATTATGCCGTCTTGTGTTATTACTACGAGTAAAAAAGCGACTGGAATTACGAAAAAAGTGGATAAGATTACATTTCATCTGCAAGCATCGACTGCAACAGTATATTTAATTAATTATTGAATTTTTTTTATCGGTTTATTTTTCTATGAAAATGATGCGGCCATTTTGTGAGTGTTGTCATTCTTGGTGAAAATTTTACCCACTTATTTATTTGTTGTGGGTTATATTTTTGTCCATTATGGAGCCTATGTCATATTAGTTTCCCTGACAAAAAATAAATGCAAATCATACAAAGGGCACGGTTAGATTAATTTTGGAAACCATCTAGCCAGAGCATAGTTTGCTCAATTCACTTTGAAGAGATATATTTATGACAAAGGTGGTTTGAAAACAGCATATCCTACTAAGACATATCTACAAATTATAATGCTGAAGAGTTTGTTTGTTTGCTAGAATGCGCTAATCTAAGGCACTAAGTAAAGTAAGTAGACTTCTAATCTTTAGTTCCGAGTCTAAAGACATATAAAAAAAACTAAACCAGCAAAAGGGAACGCAATAAAACCTTTGTACTTATTGAAGCTTTATTTTATTTGTTGTGTATAGTAAGGTGTAACTAAAATTAACACAGCCAGAAATCGTCAACTTTTATGATACCTCTATGAAATGTTTGAACAACTAGTCTGTTGCATTAATCGTAAGTTTACCTATTTTGGTTAGGTTTATTCGTATCTTACCATCCTGTTGTAAAATTACCCCAAACCAAGGGAATTGTTCCACTGTCGGCAACACTACGCGGGTGGGAAGTGCGGCTGGCGGGGGGATTGACGTATTGTTTTTGGACCATCGATCACTAATAAAGAACTAGATACACAATCAGTGACAAAAAAATGTCCTAACTGAAAGTCCACCAAACTCAACATCGCGGTGTAGTTTTAGTTTAGTACCACTCGAATGCTCCGACGGTAAACACGCCTCAGTGCTCGTTAAAAAACTGCAAAAAACACACATCTAAGATGCAAAAAGGATGGAATTTCATATTTTCGTTAAGTAATAATATTATCATTATATAATTGTCATCATTCATCATTCATCATTCTATTTTAAATATTGATATTTTATTAAGAAATCAACTTTAAAACTTTTTCCAAATGAAATCGTATTCAAAAACCGGGGTTATAATGCACACAGTTTATAAAGACACTTATACTAAACTTAAAATCATTCTCTAGCATGACCACTTAAGTTGTTCGGTTTACGTGGATTGATTCTGTTCCGTTTAGTGGAGACGCTATTGTTTCTAATTCTATTTATTGTTTTTTTTTATTAAAAAATAGTTTTTATTTAATATTATACTTCTTTACTGTGTTTATTAAAATATGGAATAGGCAGATGTAATGGATTTAATTTTAACTGCAGTAAAGAAATTTTTTTTTTAGCTTTTATCAAGACCCGTGCTATATGAAAAATTGACAACAATAACGCCAACATTTTCAGTACTTACTTTAGATATATATTCTTTTTATTATTTTACATCTTTTTTATTTGACTTCGAATAGAAAGGATTAAGGAGGACGAAAATAATAAAAAAGAATTATAACTATATGCATTAGTTTCATTGGTAAATAAATGAACAAACCTATAGAAAAGAATACTATAAGTAATGCGTTTTAATTTGCGTATTTTCTTTTTTCGATAAATTATAAAATACGAAAGAAATATATTTCTTACGAGACATTTCGACTTCAATCATTCTTTGTCCTAGCGGTGAGCCGAAGTCGTTAAATTTTATTGCTTATTTTTGACACTTTGTAAATTCGACTTAAAAACATGCGGATATGGTTCAATTTCTTATGATTTATGTTTGTCAAGAGCTTCGGTCGCAAAAAGTATTAAGATTTTGTACATCACTTTGTAAAAACAACTCTATGAGTTGCATTTAAGGTTTAATTTACATTAATGCATGTTTATTTCAAGTATAAGTACCTAAATACAGTTGGCGACAGTTTTGAAGCGAACTTTTGTATGGGATTGTGTATCTAGTTCTTTGTTTTGGACACATTTGAAGACATGTAATTATGAGTGAACGCGGATTCTGGTTTGTTCTATATTCTGAGGTCACCATATGGCAGTGGTGTGTTCTCACGTCTTTTCAACCAATGATTTTGAGACTTAGCTAGTAGTATCACACATTTGGACTTTACCTAGACGTTATGTACGCTCTCGTTGACATGCATATTTGCCCCTTGGGGTTGGTACAAACATTATAACCAACTCATCTCTGATTCTTTTTGTGATTCTGACCATAAAATCACATCACCGGAGTTGTAAGAGGTATATAAAATATTTACCTATAAGGAATGCCGACTTCTAACTGTTTTACAGCCGCTTGATATAATTCCAAATTTTCTAATTCTGGTAAGGCTTCTGTTAAATCATCAAACTCCCTTAGGTCGGCGACCTGCAAATTACAATTTAGTTATTGTAGGCCTAGCTTAGTGGCTAGATAGTAGGTACAGCATAGATAATCTTATTGGAGTTTGGAATTGTTTCCAGTATTTGTGTCCCATTGATGCATATTTTTTCTAGTGTATAATATTATAGGTAGTTAGGTGAGCAAAGTATGTACCTGGTCTTCCGCTGAGGCGAAAGATTCGGCGCTAGAGTGATGTTCTCTACGCGTGTGAGAGGAGGCTGTGTGTGTGGAGAGTAGTCGCGAGCGTCGTGCCGGCGTGACTTCTTCGGCAGCGCCTGCGCCGCCGCCACTCTCCGACCTGAACAACACTGATCGTTGGTCCAGGAACAATAGCTCGCACCGCTCCTGTAACCGTACGTAAGCGTATCAATCAGCATCACCTCGTACAATTTAAGTGAATAACAATTGACTATTAGAAGGTACCTGTAAAAGATAGGCGTCTTGCAGCAGATCCTGTATTTCCCTGCAGAACTCAGCCTCTTCCGGCGATGTAAGAGCCAACGTGCCCGATACTCCGCCTCGCGCCCCTAAAGAAAAAGCAGCCAGCGCGTCCTCCCAGTAGTTTATACTTGTTTCTAACGCCTCCATGCCTGAAACGAATAAGTATTTTTATACTACCTACCATATTTCCCTTTTGTAGGTAATTTTATACATTTTTTTAATTGTTAGGAAGCAATGAAAAGCTTTTGAAGTAATAAATACTGTATTCAATGATATAAAACAAATTAATAATCTATGATTATAATAATATTTACAAGCATTATTGCAAAGGTGGGGCGCGCTGAACAGTATGACTACAAAAAATTGTAAAAAAATGTATATAACTATATTACCTACTTAAAATAATAGAACAAGTTGCACTAAACATAGGACAATCCCTTAATCACAATTATGACTACAATCAGTTCGTGTCTCACATTACAGCAAGTTACTCCTATCTCTACCCATTATACATTGCAAATAATTTAATGACAAATATGAAGATTGCCATACACAATAAATTAATATGATTTTTTCCATGGCACATGTCAATTTTAGTCCCAATCGCGTCATATTTTACGAAACTTAGTTGTACTTCACTAGTACAAGTTGTGTACTTATCACATAATATATTTATTTAATGTCTGTAGAAAACATTAGCTTGTAATGGTTGTAATTGCTGCAGAGCATCTTGTACTCCACTGTTCAGATCCTGAACTGTCCCAGCTATGGCTGTGAGAGCATCAGCTATCCGTTCCTCCAATAAGCCACGCCTTTCCTCCTGACTCTTCATGATATTAGCCATAGATTCTAATGCATCTGCTATCCTCTCTTCAGCCGCTAATCTCCTTTCTTCAAAGTCTATCGCCCATTTTGGTGGTGGAGAAACACGGCCAGAAATGTCATCTGAAATAATTATTTATTAATAACAAATCAATAATAATTTTTTCAGCCATATAAAAGTTAAAAGCCAAAGTCAAAAAAGTTATTTATTATATATACCTAAAATATTGTCTGTCACTCTGTTTGTCAGTAAAGCTAGGTGCAACAAGCAACTTGCATCACCAACCTGGAGTAATTTTACTTTTAAAGGAGAAGATCAAGAAAAAAGCTCTTTTAAAAAAATAAATGTCTTAGAAGATCACCAATATATTATTTAATACCCATTATTGAACCCATATCTAAGAAATCAATGTTGGTATGTAGAGAAAAAGTTATTTGGGCACCTACATACTGATTTAATAGTTTCAGCAATAAATAAATATTCCTAGTATTCCTACCTGTTGGTGACTCAGGATCACCAGACTGTCTCGGCTTGGAAGTGCTTGGTGTCCGTTTCAATTTAAGATTTTCTAAAGGTTCAGAATCTGAATCGCCTGTGAAGTTATCATTCTGACTAGATGATGAAACAGCAGTTGAAACAGAGCCTTTGCCACTTAGTTCTAAGACTCTCACTTCTAAGTCATTGAGTGGAATACATCTATTTGAACCACCTTCGGACCCAGACCGAAACCTCCTTGCATTTGCTGCTTTCTTTCTGCACTTGTGTCTCCATTCAAACCAGTACTGAAATGTTTAAATAGTAAAAAGTTCCATTTCCATCAGTTAATATCAAAGTAGAAATAAAATGGGAAATTTGTTCAGATTATTTTTTGTTTCTGATATAAATTCTTATATTTTATGTATAATACTGTAAGTAGTAGGTACCTTTTTCCATCCATCTGGTGTCTTCAAAGCCCCTGATTGTACTGCGTTAAGTTGTTTGGCCAAAATTGCCCACTTTTGTCGAGTCTTTTGATGGGAGACCGGCGCACCCGGCATTAATCCTTTAGACATATATTTATTTTCCTCTAAGAAATTCATCAAAATCTCTAGTTGCTGCCGCAGTATACGCCGAGGCGGAGCCATCTAAAGATAAACGTCGCAAAAGGTAAATAAAAAGGAATAAATTAGTTAATTTTTAAACAATGTATTATAACAGAATAAAAACGTAAGAGTACCAATCGACCAAAATCTTACATACTTACCTTTTTTTACTTTCAAATCAACAAATAAACTAATTAAGTATTAGAACTTAGTTTGAAACATTTGTTTCAAGAAAATTATAATCGCGCGCTGTAATGTTTGACATAAGCAATCTCCTTCACAAACGCAATAATAACAAGAGCGATATGTAATGGCGACTCGTGATTGCAATGTTTATGATAGTGACGCGACTTCGTGAGTTTGTGATGCGATGGCTATCGATTTAGTAAGCGCTCTTTTGAAATAAAATAATGTGTAAAAATATCCATACAATTAAATAATGATTAAAATAAACATGTGCGTTGTAGTGACTCAAATAATTGTCGTTCCATTGATGTAAGTCCTAATCAAAATAAAAGTTAGGTCTATGCTTTACGTATTAGTGTTCTAAAAACCCAATAGATGGGACTATTTTACGAGATTGTCGTTGTATTTTACAAACTACAAATTATTATTGTATTTACCTACTATTTTAAGTCACATACTTACAAATATCGTAACAAAGTATAGGTATGTACAGGTACATATTCATTTGAGAAATAGAACAGTGTATATATCTCTTTATATAACGAAGTATAAAATGCACGTATTCGATTGCACGCCATCTTGTATCGAGTAGCGGAAACTGAACATATTGTACAAGCGAACGAGAGGCTTATTTTGTCACCGTGACGTAAAACCCTGTTGTTTGTTACAAGACTCCATTAATTTAAACACTGCAAGCTGCAAGACGACTTAGCTACGCCTATAAATAAGTAATAAAAGAACGAGGATATTTTGTATGTATTTTCAAACTATTATTTATATTTTTGTCTCTTTGACCTCTTGGTTTATTGATATACATATTAAGATGAAGATGATTTTTAACATATTGAAAACACGATGCGAATTAAGTATTTTTACTTATTGTAAAGTTAAAATAATACGAAAATGTTTACTATTGTTTTTGAAAATACCTACATAAATAACATTTAATAATGGCAAATTATGCGATGGTTAAATCTGAGGCCGTGGTTTCGTCCTAAAGCAGTCAAGTGTCAGCTTACCGGCTTACGACCGGCACACTAATTAATTTACCCTGAATTTCACTTTAGTAAATTTGCAAGTAAACATTAGCATTAATTTAGCTTCCATTGAGGTAAGACGATTAAATAAAACCATGGTCTGTTATAAAAGTACTTCACACTTGTAATTGCTATACCTATTCATTTAAAATGACTATCAATTTCAATACAATAAAAATCAATATAATAAAATTGTGTTAAAAGCTGCTACACAACACGTGACCATTTAATTATAAAAATAAAAAAGTTCCTCTGGCCCACCTGAGAATCGAACCCAAAGATTCTTTGCTCCGGAGTCGCAATGTTTGCGACCACATGAGTACATGACCATCGAAGCAGTTCATAATATTGTCACTCCTGTCACAAATGAGGAAAAAAATTTACTTCCAAGCTCACAAAAATCATTCCGTAGCGCTTCGTAGCAAAAACGAACTAATTCCATATCCATTATAAATAGGTACTACTACTACCTACCTATGCCATTTATGGAAAAGTTGTTTTTTCCAACAAAGTATTAGGTATGTATTTAATGTAATGGCAAGGCTACGAAACTAAATTAACTTCAATTGGTTTTTTTAAGATTACAGTAAGTAAGTGGCTGCGTAAGTAACTTGTTTTTTTATCTGTACGATGATTTGCTATAGTCACATTAAGTCACATGGACTTGTAAATTCATAACGTCCAAACAGGTTTCGAGAAGTTTATGTAAGTACCTACACTACGTACAAGATGAGCAAACTATTTATATTGTTAGTACAACTAAGCAAATATTATTGCCAGTAGGTAGTAGAACTTATTTTCCCATACACGTTTAAGTATTTACCTAAGGGCTATTATTCTCTGATTACTTCTACTTGGTCGGTTTAGTCAACTAGCGGTAGCTTAGGTAGGTACTAGATATGATTCCCAGTCCCAGATCCCAGGCAGCGAATTAAAGGGAAGAATGAAAGCGAAGTTAGCGTGGCTATGCGACTCGTGCAAGGTTTGTTTATTTGCATACAATTGTATGTACAGAACGGAAATTTTCAGTTTTGCTTACTTATTTTCTTTCAAATGACTATATCTACTGATATTGCAAAATATTACTACATAGTATAAAACAAAGGCTTTCTTCTCTGTCCGTATATCCCTATGAGGTATGCTTAATTTAATAAAACTACGCAACTGATTTTGCTGCGGTTTTTTAAATAGATCGAGTGATTGAAGAGGAAGGTTTATATGTTTAAAAATAAAATATTGGAGAAATTTAGTATCAGCATTACATCCGTGTGATGCCGGGGCGTGTCTACATACTTCAAATTTTACCGATGTTATCATCATATGAGCCATAAGACTTCTACTGCTTAACATGGATTCCTCCAGTAACTTCTAGATCTGCCGGATGTACATGTAAGCAACCAGCATTTAGCGATTACCTTAGGACTACCGATGCGCATTTTAAATGTAGGTTTTAATACTTTTAATACGATACTCATTTGTTATTAATATGACGTTGTTTATATTCCTTCTTTTGTACTGACTGAGAATGTTTAACAATAGTTGCCATAATATGACAAAATACTGGCGTGACCATACCTCGATTGCCAATTCTCAAATCCCTAACAACCCACAAAACGCCATCAAGGCTCGTATATATGCCTTAGGTGTTGCAGTTCAGTTCAGTCCACGGGTGGCGCCGTTGCTGTAGTTGTTTTTGATGGTAAATCAGATTCATTCTGATCGTTTGCTGACCGATACCAAAAAAAAAAAAAAAAAATAACCAACTCGGTAACGATTCCCCTGATAGTAAAATCATAACAGGTACACAAAACACAACCATCAGACTTACTGGCAAGTTTCATATAAAAAATGTAGATACCTAAGCCGATTTTCTGCGAAACCTTAGCAGGTCAAGTAAAATTGTTCTGTATAATAATTTAATTGGTGAAGCAAAAGCATCGACTTATAAGTAGGTCATTTGAAAACTGTCGATAAATTGAAGAAAATCTATTTATTATTATTAGGTACATACATAATTATGGGTGCAAGTGCAAGACAGGTAAGTGGCAAAAAGTAGACTGTTACCTCTAATTTTGGAATGAATAGATGTAGGTAGCTACAAAGTGAAATTATTGTACGAAGTAATTTGATATTACTTTAGAAAATAAAAAAAAAACGAAAACAAACTTTTTTCGAAGGATTTGTTTGTTATAATGTAGAAGCAGCAAGTGATGTTACTCGTTCTGGAATGGCCATTAGGTATGGGTTTCCGTTTGAACATGGTGATTTTTGATCAGTTTATCAAGCATAACAATCTCACAAAGATTTGCATCATCAAGCAGGCTAGAGCATTCTGGATGATCAACGCAAGGCGCAAGCGGCAACAATCACAACGCAGGAACAAAAATATTGGAATGAGTAAGATAGGACGTGGAAAAAAAACTACTAAGTAGTTTCTGCCAGCGCGCAGAGGTTCAGCCCGAAAACAGAGGGAGTACACTCACTAGACATTTATTTCTGTGCGAAATTTCATTTAGATCCGTAGTTTTTACATGAAACATACTTGAGACCAGAAACTTTTGCGTTAATACTTACTAGTACGTTTTTCACTCATATCGTGCAAATGAGAAATGAAGGTGTTTATAGGTATCCTTTTAACCCTACAAAGCTTTCAGTTATACTAGTAGTAGTAAAAAACCCATTCAAATTAAAATGAAACGGAAACTACCGCCCACTTGTTAAACATTGTATTTACGAATTTAAATTCTTATACGACTCCTCGAGAGTTGGCGCCAACGGACCACCTACTTAGTTTTTATAAGCTGACCAAAGTTCGTTAATATTGTCAATAAAAACAAAATGAGGCGATATGCGGACATGTAAATTGTCTCTTCTTAACCTAATTCCAGTAATTTTAAGTTTTGGTACCCTATTATGCAAATGTGTATCGATTTAAGATTGAAAAATGTTTCGTGTAGTGGTCTTTTATATCTAAACGCTTAATGAATTATGTACTCAATTAATGTAAGTACTGACACATGAAAGCTAATGCAGAGATCAGCATATTATATTTTGATGTATCAAAAAAATTAACTTCGGAATTATTTTTGCTTGTATAGGTAATAAATATCATTTTTGACTTTTCACTGCATGGTTGGCGCAGTGGCTGCCGGCTGCCGTGCAACGTGTCGCGGGTTCGATGAAACAGCTCTTTGTGCGATCCACAAATTGTTGTTCCGGGTCTGAGTGTAATGTTGTATGTAAAATGTTTGTAAAACACGACACAGAAGAATAACCAAGTCACGTGGAACGTTTTTCGAAAAAAAAATAAGAACATAAGTAAGTTATTAATATAGATTAGGGTTTCAAGTGCAGTGGTAGGTGCCGGTGAAACGGGCGGCCAGTGCAGCAGCACCGAACGCTGGCGCGGCGGTCGCGGGGCGCGAGCGTCATTCGAGCATGGTCTCTCGGACCGGCCTCCGCCCGCCAGTCCCGCCAGTCTACCCGACACTCCGCACTGCGGCGGTGTGCTATCGCTAAGCTCCGTACGACCCCCGTGTTACATTTAACCAACGTTCTTTTTATAATCGTCAACCGCAAAAAATTGCGGATTCACATCCAAGATTGACTACAAAGTGATTGATACATTGTTAAAGTGTTGTGTATAAAAAAACCGCGAATTCTGTGAGTTTTCTTAAAGGCTTCGCCGCTAGTCCTGGTTATATTGACGTCGATTTTATCGTTCTGTCAGGTAAGACGTGAGTTTAATTAGTTGGGATTTTAATAAAGATGTTACATAAAATAATAGTGTTTTTCTAATTCATTTTAGAAAAATGTCTAGAGATTTTTTTATTTTCTTATATTTCATTTTAATTTATGTTTTAATTGCTAAAACATGATTACAATTGTTTGATTAGTGTCGAATTTAACTTTTCGTTGGCACTTTTATTCCTTGTTATTTTATTTTTACCTGCTGCCTATGCTTTTTCTTAAGCGAATACCAGCAAAGGTTACTCATCAGATCGATTATAAAATATAATATTTCCCTGGAATAATAAAGTCAGTGATTCTCGACATCTAACACTTTGGTATGAATCGAGGAACACTATAGGAGGTCTCAAGCGCTCCAAGCATTCTCTGGAACGTGAGCACTCAGAAGAGAATCTCCTGACACGTTTCTTATAAACCGGTTCACTCGGATACACTTATGCAATCGTTACTCTAATCGAATGAACAATGTCCAAAATATTTTTGTAGCGTGTCGTCGGAATTTTGGGGTTAGTTATGGCAGTTAGAGTAATGTTACTGGTAAAACAATTCTTATAAAACTTACAAGGGAATTGTAGTTTACAAAAATCATTTAAACAACTCATTCTAAATACAAACGAAATTGCATTGTTATCTTATAAATAGCATCCAATTAAAACAGACACGGTGCAAGTTGATGAATAAAAATAACAATATGAAATTATGCAGGAATGCTATTCAACTATAATGAGTGTATTTAAAATCGGTATTAACATAAATCAATCTAACTACTTCCACACGAATGATGACAAACTACTCCGAATAAGCATAATTACGTATGTTTAGATTAATTACTACAATACGCCATTGTTAGAAAGATAGGAATTGATCTCTCCGGTCATCGCCATATTTGCACCTTTCGTTTTATCTTCAATGCGTTTACTGACGTTATCGTAGTGCAGAATCGCGCAAACATCTGCTAGGGGCAGAGGACCCTGGAGGTGTATTGTACGTTTGTTATTCGACATCGTTAGTTGCAGCTGCGGTTCCACGTGTAAACTGTCAATACATAAAGTGTCGACACAATCGCTGGAATCCGCATTGTGTCGAAATTGAACGATTTGCAGAAAAACCTTTCGCAACCTTTTGAGATGATCCCGGTAAATGTATCGATGGAGCTTTTTATGTTCACGATCAAGGATGATGTAAACAATTGTAAACATAGCAACAGATTCTAATGTTTCGACTGTTGAACCCTCTGTTGTCGTGTGTCGCGACACCGACCAATTGGCGTCGTTGTATCGATCTGCGAGACCTAACGACTACGTCATTGAAACACTGTCCACAAACTAAAATTAAGATTTATTTTCAGTTGAGCTATTTTTACATTCCCAGAATTAACTTTCTAAAGGTTAGACAATCTATCGTTAGATTTGTTTGTATCTATACATTATTCAAAATACACGAATCAAGCTTATACTTTGTATCTTTGTTGGTTTTAGTCGAGCTTTCCTTGTAACTAGCGATTACCATAAGGCAATTGTTAAAACGGCGATGCCCCGGGAGAAGTCTCGCTAAATTGCCTTCATCAAGTCGCCTCCGCTTCTAGTTGGCCATTTCCGTTCGTTCGATCAACTTGCTGCTGGTTACCCATTGATACTGTTAAGTTTATTCATTTAAGAACGCTAAAGAACTAAGATATAAAAACAATATTTATAATTAATTTGCACAGTTTCTCTATTGTACACTTTCAGCTAACATGAAAAGAGTGTAACAATAACGAAACAAGTAACTGATTGTTTACGAAGAAACATATCCATAGCAATTCTAAATTAAACTTGCCCAGAGCCTGCAGCACAATTTGCTTAAACCGCGTTCACAGAATACACATTAATTCCAATTTAATATTCTGGATTCGAAACCCCAGTTATGAAATTTACACGCGTATAAATCCATGGGGCCCCACAACTTGGCTGCCCTACTTAGACGGGTGCTGGCGTTACGGAGACATTTTGCGACACAATAAGTAAGCGAGTTCTCGGCTGGAAAATTGCTTCAATATTGAGGGTGGAAATCACCCCTGAAAAATAATCAACTAAATAGTCCAGATATGGAACTTTCAAAATTGGGGGAAATAATTATAGAAAACAAAAATGTTTTCACAAGTTATGACAACAAGTATTTTTTATAAAAAGAAATACATTACGTAAAATATACTACGTAAGTGAGTAAACCGAACAAGAACTGGTCATTTTATAATACTCTGATATTACTGTCTACATTTAAAGTTCCTCTGTGCGGTGTTTTAGATTGCGAATAAAACGAAGTGCAGAAACATGCAAATTGGATTGTTTTACTAGAGCGTTTTTTTCTTTCTTTCCTATCATGGTTCCTTTGCACTTGGCAATGTTTTAGATAAGACACACTATCCAAATATGTCGTATCTATAAACGCTATTCATGATGCTAAAGTTTACAAAAATGGATTGTGTTTTAAAACGATGTTTATAAACAACCCGTAGATGTTAGTCGTCAATAGGTTTTCAATCAAGCTTTGTTTGAATATCCGTATTATCTCCCTATTAATTGTTTATGGTTCAGATGTTTTAATCCGTGATCTCATCTTTCTTCTTAGATAAATAGTGTTTCAATGAGGTCACGTTTCTCATCTGGGGTATAGGGACGATAATGCACCGAGCCCTTCATGCTTTAACATTCTAAAGTTCAAATGAATCAATATAACAAAAATACAACAGTTTCTGAATATGCTACTCCAAATTTCGTTCAATGAAGTTATTTTTGTTATTATTCCGTCCTGCCTTTTTCTATGTTTAAAACTTTATTACGTGGTTAAACGATGTCCAGCCAGCGCCAAGTTGACATAACAATCGGTGAGGTCACGACACTAACGAAGGGCTTGGGGTCTAGTAGGTGGAAGTGGTTGATAAGGGGCTGAACGGAGGGCGATTCTGGTATTCGTATGCAGGCCGCGCGGTGGCGTCGCGATCGATACGCGCCCGCGCGACGCCTCCCCCGCGGTACGACTCACAAGTCTGCTACAACAAATATACTTGAGCTTATTAAATTTCTTTAAGACCTTTCCTGACAGCTCTTCCGGCTAAAGGGTTCCCCGGTTCTATTCCATAGGCGCAATCAACTTACAGCGGACCGTTGACGTAAATTGCTGTCATACTCCTCAAAACCATGGTACTCTTAACTGATTACTACGGAGGTAAGACGTACTTACATAACATAATACAACACACTCACATTATCAAGTGCCCCAAATATAATATAGAAGAATAAAAAAAAGTATTTGGGGACGATCACCGATAACAACGTATGGAAATTAGTTTGACAGAATATTTGCAATTGTAATTATTTAAACATCAAGGCGCGACAAACTGAAGTGTTCTAAAGATAAGAAAATGACATCATCAACGGGAACGACCAAGGGAGAGAATAAAAAACTGTTGACATGAACTAACCGATCAGTGAGGCGTAGAACACGCTCGGCCGGTGACCGCGTGGCCCTGATCTTGACGGAACAAGCTCGGTGATGACCTTCCGTGACCGTGCAAGATGTCAACTAAACAATAATGAGCATGAACATAAAATTATACCAACTACTACTTTAATACAATTATCTAACTCTTCAAGACCCCTTATGTCATAGCATAATAACGTATTATGACTTGTTAATAGGACGAAGTACCTTGATCGTGATTTATTTGTCGCCATAAATGGTGAAACTAGCTTATTAAATGATTCACATCACAAAGGAACGTGGGTGTCCAGTGCCATGGAGTAGGAACAAGGCTGTACTTTATAGTAGAGCGTATTTTCTGTATAAGTCCATATACAATATACCTATAACATTCGCGAGTAAACAGAAACTCAATATAATGAATTTGAGCTTAGAATCTCCCCCTATAAGGGGTCCCCTTTTCGTGTGGTATGCGCTAACTACTTACTAATAGCTTTAATGCACTTCCAATAGCAGTCTGACGTATATCGAGGGGAGCTATCAATGAAGAGGGATCTGGTATTTAATATAAATATATATATATGGATAGGTACTATCAGAGGCGAAATATTTTATTAAGTGAACGGAATCCGAAGGCCACGAGTATGGGAGCATTTGAGCGAACATAAATGATACTCGTACCTTTTTCAATCAAAGCATTCTATTTTATTAATGTATTGTAAACACCTTCGTTAGTTGGTTCTTGTACACTATAGATCCAAAGTTCTAGAAGTCATTGTGCAAATTTGATAATATACTTATTTGAAACTTTGAACTCGATAGGACAGACCTTACCACAGCCGCCAATGTGAATCGATGAATTTCAATTAGCAGATGAGCAGGAGTGCGGCTACGTCACCGTCATAACTGAACAAGTCCGCATTGCACAAACATTGTGATCATTGCGAGTTGTTAGTTGTTATTGCATGCCCGCATGCTTTCACCTACAGATGTATATTATGACATGAATCTTTATCAGTCAATTTGTCTGCATTCAAATTGGCTTGTTTATTGAGAGGAGTAACGATCTGATAAAATTGGAATTTGATATGGAGATATGAGACATTGCATTGGAAGGCCCAATCTATGTACTTAATAACTTAATAGTAGGAAAGTAATTTTATCATTTGTTGAATAACAAATAACGGTAGTTATAATAATGCTGTTTATAAATCTTTGCGTGGGTAACTCTACCTGGATGCGTTCTTTTATTAGTTTTTTTACATGATGCGGCCATTGCTCCCCATTTTGGACGACCCTTTAGACGAACAATGATTAGAGCGAGGGGAGCCGCATGCAGCTGCTCCTTTTCTCTTAGAGCACGTTTTTCTGATATACGCTGAAGGAAGGAACTGGGTCGCGAAATGAGGCCAATTGTATTTTCTCCGATTAGACTGCACAATGCGTTTACTGTTGGGTTTCATTTAGCACAGCCGATAACAATTTCCTCTAAGCCCCATAATTTACAAGTTACTAATC